AGACTCAACTGCCATGCTCACGGTGGGGTGGGAGAAATGGAACGAGATGAAGTGAACCTGCCATGCGCATTTCTAACACCAGCAGGAAAATGATGGAAATCCTAAATGGTGACATTTCTGTGTGCCACGTAAATGGACTTCACTCTGCATTTATTACGCTCCCACTACCTTCCTTTGCTGTTCCCAGCAGAAGGCAGAATAATATTTCCACCCTGGGTATATCTGACCTGAAAGTAACAGACACAGGAGACTGAACTGCACAGAGGATGCCGAGTGTCTGCTTTGTGTTAGATGAGAAATTCAGAGAAAACGAACACGAGACTCCCAAGAGCTCATTTATGGAGGCAACCCAATTTGTGCGTTTCAAGCAGCAGCAGGAGCCTGTGCTGTGACTTTGCAAGCTAAGCCTCCACCGGAGATGCAGGTGTCCAATACTCTCCACTGCTAATCCAGCTCCTTGCTAACCTGGCCGGGGAGGCAGCAGAGGATGAACCAAGGGCTTTGATCCTGGCGCACGCACGTATGCGCACACACACAGCCGGAAGCGCTGGCCTTGCTGACTTCAGCCGGCCCAGTCCTGGCTGTGTGGCCATTTGGGGTGTGAACCAGCAGACGGAAGATTCTCTCTCCTCTGTAATTCAGCCTTTCAAATAAATAAAGATCGAAACATATACACAGCAGCAAAACAGCTTGTGTAGGGAGGACAGAAGCCATGGGTAAACAACCGAAGTCATCATGTGCTTATTCTTTCTCCATTAACAAAAAAAGTCCTTTTTTCCCCCAGAAGTACTCCAAGGATCCCAGGAGTGAGTCTTCAGCTTCTAAAGGCGCCGCCAGCATCAGGAACTCCGTATAAACCAAGTGGGAATCTGTGCTTTTTGTTTCTGTAAGATTTTATTTTTCTTGGAAAGGCACTTACAGAGAGAAGAGACAACGATCTCCCGTCCCTCACTCACTCCCCAAATGGTGGCAAAGGCTCCCGCTGAGCCAGGAGCTCCCTGCGGGTCTCCACGCGGGTGCAGGGTCCCAAGGACTTTGGCTATCCTTTACTGCTTTCCCAGGCCACAAGCAGGGAGCTGGATGGGAAGTACAGTAGCCAGGACACAGAGCAGTACACATATGGAATGCTGACGCTTGAAGCTAGATTAGTCAGGTGACCCATTACACATGCACTAGGAACCTGTGCCTCTTGCCTCTATTACAGAGGCATCAAAAAAAAAAAAAAAAGATTTATTTTTTCACAGAAAGGCAGAATTGCAAAGAGAGAGGACACAAAAAAGATCTCCCATCTGCTGGTTCACTTCTCACGTGACTGCAACAGCCAGATCTGAAGCCAGGAGCCTCTACCATGTTTTCCCACGCAAGTGCAGGGTCCCAAAGCTTTGGGCCATCCTCGACTGCTTTCCCAGGCCACAGCAGGGAGCTGGATGGGAAGTGGGCAGTCAGGATTAGAACCTGCACCCATTTGGGCTCCTGGTGGTTGCAGGGTGAGGAGGATTTATACACTGAACCATCACTGGGCATGATAGAAGCATTTTCCCCCCCTAATCAGTTGCTTTTGGTAAACACTGTTTTTTAATATCTGGCAAGCAGATTTACAGATACAGAGGGAGGAAGATGGACTGAGGTCTTCCACCTGCTGGTTCACTCCCCAGATGATCCTAAGCTTCGAGGCTGGGCCTTCCTGCAGGCAGGTGCCTAGAACTCCATCCATGGCCGAAGCACCTGGGTCATCCTTTGCTGGTGTGGTAGGTTTATTAGCACGGAGCTGGACTGGAAGTAGAACAGCCAAGACTCAAATTAGTACAGATAAGGGATGCTGGCATCAGAGGCAATGTTGAACAGGGCAAACAGCACATGTTGCTATTCTAAAATTATCCTTTATAGTAATTTCTAAGATACTCTTCCACAAAAAGGAATCATCAGCAAAAGTTTTTTTCATTAAAGTTATAACACAGTAACTACTTGAGGAAAAAAAAATGTTAATGTGTGGATCTCTTCTTACCTGAAAGCTTCCTCCCTTCAGATTTCTGGAAATGAACGCTAAAGGAAAGAAGCCACATCATCAGGAGCCAACAATGTAAGGAAGGCTAGTCCACAAATGTAAGCACAGGATTTATGAATGTCAACAGCACTTGACAGCAAGTGAAAGACAGCCCGGAGCGACCACAGCTCACCGGCCACCTTTGCCCACGCCCTCGGTGGAGTGCACGCGCCAGCATCTGAGTCCGCTCATGGTTCCACCTGAAAGAAGAAAAAAGGCAGTACACCTTCTCCCTCTAGCTGCTTCCCAAGCTGGAGTCCAACAGGACACGGAAGGATGCAACTCAGAGAACTCCGTTCAGTCTGCAGAAAGAACAGGGGAAGATGGAGGGCAAAAGCTGACTTTCCAGGCAGGTAAACTAGTCAAGCCTTTTCTATTAAAGTCATCATTTCATAACACTAGTGCAAAACCAGGAGCACCTTTAAGAGCCAAGTAAGTGCAGCCATCACTTACAATGCTTTCAAATGTCTGCAAAAGACCTGGGGGGAGCGGGGAAACAAAGTACATTCTCCAGAGAAAAGATGCATTTCAAAATAAAAACTATTTTTTCTCCAGTTTTTGTACAAGAATCCACTAGTAATGCATACACAATGGGGTGGATGTTGGCTCTCCTCCTGAGTATCACAGCCAAGGCCGCATGTTCAGGCTACAGTTCCTGATGTCATATGCTGATACACATATGACCGCCTGTTGATCTAAGTGCAGATACGTAGCACTGGTCTCTGGGCAAACGTCTCTGGATTTAATACAGAAATGGGGAACGTGCAGTAGGCACACACCCCAATGAGGAAGGCATTGCTAGATGGTTCTAGATGATCCACTCCCATCACGGGAAGGAAAGACTGTCTCGTCTCGTCTCCTGGCCACCTGGGAACCGACAGATGCAGCCCTCAGTAAACTGTTCAATCACTAAAAAACACAAAGTAAAACAAAAAAGGTTTGACTCTACTAGATGAGGAAAACACACAGAAGTTAAATTTCAAATTTTAAATCAGTAGGAAAGTATTAAAAATATTCTGAATATACATAGCAGGTATATGTATATATTGAATTACTCATGTCTCATACAATATCAATGTCAGCAAAGCGGAGACACTTTGAGATTATGCCTTCCATTAAATGACCACTATGTCATAATTTAAAAAATACTGTCTGATGTCATTAAAATAATTTACTCAGCATTTCAACAGCCTAAACTTTTAAAAAAAATTTTTAAACTCTAGTTTTAAATTCCCTGATCCCTGCTGTTTCTCTGTGTAAACAAAAACATACTGTTCTGTTATTCAGAAACGTCTAAAATCATATCTACTTCAAAACTGTATCAACTGGATCAATGTCATGGGCTGACTTATCAGAGAGCTACCTCAGCTCGGAGTGTGTGAACCTGTGCTATTCTCACTATGCTAAACACGTGAGGACGTGTCCTCCAACAGGTTCTATGCCACCACGACACACACAATATGATGATGACGTGTCCAATACAAACACTGCAGACACACCTGAAAACTCACTTTAGCAACTAGCTTTAGAAACAGACCGTTTATTTTTCACTCTAATATAAATTAATATGTATGTATTGACGTACGTACACATACATATAAAACGAAATTGGTGTTGAGTAACTGTTCATGAGTGAAAAACGGTTACAAATCAATTTATCAGCTCAGTTCTGTACTTAACAATTTCATCATTTTGGGATACAGACGAAGCGTCAGTGCAGCTGCGGACTCGGCGGGGACTTCCCGGGGCTCCCCCCTCTGCAGGCACTGACGGCAAGGAGAGGTGTGCTCGGACGCAGTCCCCACGCCAGAGGCTGACTTTTAAAACAGCTCCGTGAAAGAAATATAGAAAGAAATGCATGTTTGTTGGAAGTCTTCTAAAATGACGTCAAAACAACAGCGAAAGCTGCTCGCTGAGCAGAGCCCGCACAATGGCGTGCCTGGTCGGCAGTCCACGGCGGCGAGGCTGAGCGAAGGCCCCAGGGCAGGACGTCCACCTCCCCCTGCCTCGCTCCAGTCCCCCACGGTGGGCTGATGTGGATGAATCCCCTTTAAAATAGCGGTACACCTTAAAAGGAGCTATAGTAAACAGTTCCCCAATAGCCATTAGTATTCATAAATTGAAATGCATTGATCATTCAGAAAAGATTTCTTGCAAAATATATAAATAAATGTAACTGCATATTCTGTAAATACACTGAATGTTAACTAACCAGGCCGTCAATGACGGGCTGCTATATTTCAGAAGTGTGTGTCAAATTTATTAGAAATTTAAAAAGAAATAATTTCTGAGGGACTCAGCTGCCTTCATTGGTTGGCTTTAAAATGTGTAATAAAATGGGAGATAGTATCTTCTCATAAATACACAGAATCAATATGGAAAAGTAAAGTCTACAACAGACAAGTTAGAGAACGCCAGGGGACAGCAGAGTAGTTACTGCAGTGAAGAATCTTCCAGTACAAAAAAGGGAAGACCTCGACACGCCCCATGAGAGTCTGTTTCACCTACAGATGCAGCTCTCTCTCACTCCTGGCAAGAATTAATTGGTAATGACACTGCTTCCCAGCAGTGCAAAAATATCCTGAGAAATTATTCAGATTACAACAAAAGACAGGGCTTTCATCACTAAATTTTTGCACAAAACACAGCTCTAGATATCGTAAATAAATTAATTTTAAAAAGCAGATCTTCCTCACTGTGTTGAACACAAAAAGGGGATGTGACCCAGGCGTCGCTAATTCTCCCATTGGCTAATATCAGAAAAAGATTGCATCAAGTGTCTATAACGTTCTAGTTAACTATGGCCGATAATACACATGGAGGTAATTTGTAGTTCAAGTTTTTCATCTCTTCCTTGCCCCCAACTGGCTACAAACTTGATTTTAAAATTTACACTGAAATATACAATTCTAATTTTTAAAAGCTCCTTCTCCTGGGGAATTGATACTCAAATTTCTTGTGCAATCTTGATGCAGAACCCAATGAGTCCCATGAAGAAAAATGGCATTTCTTCCAGTCAAGCAGCAATGCAACCCGACTTTCCTTAGCTGCATTCTAGTAGCTTGGCCAAGTTATCTCGCAATTCTGTTAGTTCAAATATCTTCCCATCCAGAATCTCTAAGAGGGTCTTCAGGTTATTGCGAAAAGCTTCCTGTTCGTTCTGACTTTTCTCCAGACGCTGCTCCAAGTCAGAGAGCTGGCCCTCCAGGTCTTTGTTTCGAATTTCTACTTCCTTTAGAGACAAAAGTGCAATAAAGACGTGTCAACTCATCATTCCGAAACAGCACGATCCTCACTGACACTGTACTGCAATACGCCTACTGAGATTCACCCTGGGTCTCAGTCCACACACCTGAAGTCGACTCTGGATTTGGCAGCTGAGATCCAAGTGATTCTGTGCACTGGATTGTGGATATCTTTCTATCCAAACAACAAAAACCCCTCTTTCCACTGCGCTTACGATGCTACAGGCACTTTGCACACCAAGGCAGGTTTGAAAAACCTGTCTGCAACTCATTTTCATTGCTGCTTCACTATTTTTCCTAACACTACTGTGAGCAAGCTCAGTGAAAACAAGGAAAAAGAAGTGAATGAATTTGTTCTCCTTGCTGACAATTCTGAAGAAAGATTTAGAAACGAAAGCAACCAGCTGTGAGAGGACTACAAGATGTCCTAATTACATAAAGTATTTTTGTTTTGTCATATTATTGTATGCATGAAGTGTAGAGAATACAGATCAACTGCTAAAAACCACAGTGATGGTCAGTAACAACGTCCACAAACAGAGAAGCAGAGACCGTACCGGCAACATTTCACACAGCAGGGACAAGGCGACACCCCACTTCCAATCCAGCTCCCTGCTAACGTGCCTATGACGCAGAGGATGGTCCGAGAACACGGACCCTGCCCCCACACAGGAATCCCAGAGGCAGCTGTAGGCTTCCTGCTTCAGCCCGGCCCACCCTGGACCGTTGCAGCTGTCTGGGGAGTGAGCTACTGGATGAAATATCTTTCCCACCTCCCCTCTGCAACTCAGCCTTTTAAATAAATAAAATATAAATTTTGTTTAAAGATTTACTTGTTTACACTTGAAAGGCAGATTTATAAAGAGAACAACTGAGAGAGGGAGACGTGCTGGTTCACTGCGCAAGTGGCTGTAACAGCAGAAGTGAGCAGATCTGAAGCCAGGAGCCTGGAGCCCTTTCTGGGTCTCCCATGCGGGTACAGGGTGCCAAGACTCTGGCCGTCCTCCACTGCTTTCCTAGGGCGTAAGGATGGAGCTGGATGGGAAGTGGAGCAGCTAGGACATGAGGGTGTGCCCTCAAGGGATGCCAGTGCTTACAGGAAGAGGATTTAGGGCAAAAGACTGTTATCTGAGTAATGAGCCACTGTCCCAAAATAAAACAAATCTTTAAAAAATTTGTCAAGAAAACAGCAGGGCAAGGAAATTCCAAATGTTTTCTTTGTCTTAGCATCATAAAATTATGACTGATTTCTTTTTTATTCTGCTGTATTTTTCTGAATATTTAGTTTTTTTATAATGCACATTAGCTACTTTGATATTTAGAAATCTATAAATATAAAAAATCTTGGAACACTAAAAAAAACACCAATATTCTTAATTTACATGTAAGTATGAATTTTTTATCCATAATCACACCTCCTGTCTATGTTTATTTAACAGAATTCCAGGAGGCTTCCTCTACCATCTCAGGAAAAGAATGATGCTATTTTTTAAAATGATTTTTTGTTTTTGAAACGCCGAGTTATAGAGAGGAGGAGACCAAGAGAGATCTTCTATATACTGTTTCATGCCTTGAAGGCCCATAACAGCTGGGGCAGGGCCAGGCCAAAGACAGCAGCCAGGCACTCTATCCAGGTCTCCCAGCAGGTGCACGGGCCCAAGGACCTGAGCCATCTTTTGTTTCTTTCCCAGGCACATCAACAGGGAGCTAGATCAGAACTGGAACAGTTGGGCATGGTGCGGTAGCCTAGTGGCTAAAGTCCTTGCCTTGCATGAGCTGGGATCCCACATGGGCGGTGAGACCAGACTGAAGAGAGAATGAAAGTACATAAACCTGAAATCCCACACTGAACAAAACCAATTTCAAACGCTTTCTCTAAAATCAGGGTACATTTTAAGTTAAAAGCATTTATGTTAAAAGTTTCCAAAATAATTTACTGAAATCTGGAACTGACCATCTGTGATAATTATAAGCTACTTAGATGGCGTTTGTTAAGTAAATTTTGAGAAATCAAAGATTAGGAAAGTCTTGGGAAAGAAAAAACAACTGAAATGCAGAGTTTTGGGGAGAACCCCGCGATGTCCCAGACGGCTTTGCGGCAGAAGGGCCAGAGTGGCCACAGCGCACCTGCAGCTTCTCGGTCAGCGAGTCCCTCTGCTCCTGCAGCTCCCGGGCATTAGCAACTTCCTGCTTCAATCTTTCTATTTCCTAGAAAAGGGAGAGCAAGGTCTTTAATGACAACATTGAAACTACATGAAGGAAAGACCTCATTTTTCCCACAGTCACTATCTCCGTTCTTAGAAAAAGACACCTTCTCCAGGAGTGTTCACGCGCGGGGTGTGCTGGGACACAGCAGTCCCGGGCAGTGGGACTCCTTGCTGGATTCAACACTGCCTAGCAGCAGCAGCAGCTCGCGGCGGCATCAGCTGAGCGCATACAGCTGTCTCCAGGATCTGAGACCAGGGACAGCACCCACTTGTCCATGTGCGAGGCCTCCTGGAGATCTCTGTGGATCTTCCGTGTGCGGCCTTCACCCAGGAAGGCACCAAGTCCTGGTCAGACTGCTGCTCCCGTAGCTCAGGGCAGAATGGAGGATGTGAAAAACAGGGCTTCATGCCATTAAAAAACAAACAAACAAACCCAGTCCCAAAAGAGAAGCCCACGGTCCCATTCCATCCGTGCCAGCTGGAGGGCACATACCTCCTCCTTGAGCTTCAGCGTCTCCTCCAGCTCCTGTATCGTCTGGTTTAGTTCCGTCTTGTGGGTGTGCACTGCATTCGCTTGGCTGCTGACACACTCGAGCTCAGTCACCTGAGCGTCAAAGGGAGGACAGGTTAAACGACACTTCCAGGGAGCTCCTCACCGAGGACATCGGATAATTAACTTGGAGCAAGTTTATGAAAATTAATTTTGAAAAATGCTCGGAATGATAAACTTCTTCAAAGACATACATTTAAGACACAGGGAATAAAAAACACCAGTAATTATTTAAATGCTAATCATAGAAATGCTGAGAAAACTGAACTGATAAACAAGCAGAAATTAAGTTTACTCAAACTCTTCAGTATCAAATACGGCTATCTGCCCTCTTTCAGCAGCCTCCAGGCTGAACCCGGATCCTGAGAACTGGCCCCTACATGCGAGGAGGACGTGAGGGAATCTGGAAGAAAAAATATACTCAAAGCACACAGCTGGAGGCCGGCATGATGGCTCAGCTGGCTAATCCTTCACACCTCCAAGTGCTAAAAGACCACGTGGGCGCCAGTTCATGTCCTAGCTGCTCCACTTCCCACTCATTCCTGCTTACAGCCTGGGAAAGCAGCCGAGGATGTCCCAAGTCCTTGGACTGCTGGACCCATATGGGAAACCTGGAGGAGGTCCCAGGCTCCAGGCTTCTGATCAGCTCAGCTCCAGCTCTTGTGGTCATTTGGGTGGGGGAGGGGGTGCACCAGCAGATGGAAGATTTCTCTTTCCTTCTCTCCCACTCTCTATATACCTGCCTTCCCAATAAAAACAAATTTCCTTTAAAAAAAAAAACCTTAAATCATCCAGATCATCCAGTACTACAATCATTTCATATGAACAGTGCCTTTATGAGAAAGGTAATAGTTTTTAGTGAGAATTTACTCAGTGCCTAATGAACAACATAACTTTTATATGTTGATGTTTTGAAACGACAGGGCAGTGTCTTTAAGTTACACAACATTCAAAGACAGCGTGAGTATGGATAAATTCTCTCTCACACATGCACACACCCATACCTGCTCACGCACACTCTGATTTTTGACGGAGTATGACACAATCCATCCTAAGAGAACAGCACACCATCTCCCGTCTCCAGCCTGTTATCTGCTCAGCTCTCTCACTGTCACCATCTTCCTCCTCTCTTCACGTGCTGGCGATCGCACACACTCAGGGCTGAGCCTGAAGCACAGACCTTCTACTTTCATTTGTTCCAAAAATTGCCAACAGATTCTTCTTTCTTCTTCTACTCAAAGTCTTCCAATGACTCATTTTTTTTAAAAGAAAATTTAAAATATAATTTCTCAGGTCCCACCTACTTAACCATCCTCACTGTCCAAGACTTCCAACAAAATCAAGCAAGTCTCCTCATTCCCAGGAGGAACAAGCCCACGCCTATCCTGGCAATGCTGGGAAGTGTCCACAGCATGCCTCGTTCCCCTCCCAAGTTCACTGCCCTAGCCAGGACAGGACGGCGTCGCCTCAGGTCTCCGACTCTCCCTGACCACCTACTCCATTTTCATCTTACGTGCCCTGTCATTTGGTCCCTTATGCCCTTCAAACTGTGCTGTTACGAGCCACTCTTTATCTGCTTACAACGGAAATCAGTGGACCTGCCCCTGCTGGGTGAATACATGCTTGTGCTTTGAATTAAGAAAAGATCCTTCACAGGTCGTTGTTTCAACTTCTGTTGTTCATGGCACTAGAATTTCTAATTTTCTTTTTCTATCCTCAATCTCTAAAACTACCAATTTGTAAAAATAATTTTCTACCTGAATCTCCAAATTATCCCGTCTTTAAAAAAATCATAAAGGTACTTTATTTTCTCATTTTAACTGGAATTCAGTCAGTACAACAACATGTCAAGTCACTGTTACAGGAATTGCACAGAGTGCCTAAGACGGTCTTCAAAAACATCATGAAAAAAGGGTGTTGTGAATAATATTTAAAAAAATAAACCTAGGCATGGATATCAACATTCTTTTGCATCAAAACAAGGTCATTTTTAAATTAATTGCTTATCTGCTACAAACTCTCTGAAGGATAGATCCCCACGCGGAGAGGGACTGGAGAGCTGTCAAGAGCTACAACTGGAACTTGCAGCCATGTCTTCTGGCTTCATCCAACCACGGAAAGCACTTTGCGTTACCCTGGTCCCCACCCCGGCAATTGGTGGCTGTCACAGCCGTCCCAGAGGTGGACCCACAGGAGGATCCCCCTGGTGGAGGAGCGTCCTCCACATCTGGACCGAGCCTGGCTTACCCGCTTGTGCAGGCGCTCTGCCTCCTCCTGGTAGGCAGCCAGCTGTTGCTTCCACTGTTTCACGTTGGCAGTGGACTCCAGCAGCGCCGCAGTCAGTTTGGCATTGTTTCCTTTGAGGGTAGCCAATTCAGCCTCCCAGTGTTTGCTGATCGCTGAGCTAGAATCAACAAGAAATTTAACCCATTACATGGAATATTGCTACTCTGATTAGACAGCAGTATCGAGCTCTATTATCACATGGTTGGTTATCTAGGAATGTTTTTAAGAACAAGTCCAAAACACTGACAACAGCAAATACTTCTGCTGGAGAAAACCTGGCAAGTCAAGAAAATTAGCAAATATCAGGAGTAATGTGGGAAGGTTCTGACGTCCATCAGAGTAGGAGAGCTGCACAGTAAACCCTTAGAATCACCTGCAAACAGCTGAACCCCAGATCTTATTTTCTAGGAATATCAAAGCCTGAATGTATGATTGCACTTCTTAATGAAAACCATGTTTAAATGTCAATAAGGCTTCAGAAATGTAACATGGTGTTTCTTTCAATGCTGTTGCATCTGGCTTAGAATTTATACATGGCTAAGGCCCAGGAACTTACTATGATAGATTGATTTCACACGGTTTGCTGGATCTACCAATTACTTAGTTACTAACTTATTTCTGGCATCATGTATACAAAATTAAAAGCTAATCACCTTTTTCCTCATTTAATGTTCCACTGGTAAGTCACCTAGAATTAAGCATCTCAACCGAGACAACTTCCATTCCAAATGCAATCTTGTTGTTGGGAAGACCCCGCTCCTGATAATACCTTTATTAACTTTATAGCAAACAAATAATTGTCTCATTTGACCAAAAAAAAGTTTGTTTCTCATTAACACAGTTCAGGTCAGTGAAATTCTGGTAGCCTCATCTCATTAACTAACTACTGACAGGTCTGAGATCACCATTTTGTGTCATTTGCATCACATGGCAAATGTTTTAGTGGATATTATATAGAATTTATAATAATGTACATTGTATAAAAGCAAGCATACTTTCCATTCAGTTTCACAGTTTAGTTTTTAATCACGTGAAAAGCAGAGCAGAGAGAGCGAGCGACGATGAGGGGCCTTCCATCTTCTGCGTCTCCGGCTGAGGCCAGGATGCTGAAGCCCCACTTGGGTACCTACGCACCTGTGGCCTGCCAGAGTGTCCGTCATCAGGGAGCTCGAGCAGAAGCTGTGGCAGCAGAGGGACTGAGACACAGGTGTCCCGAACGGTGCCTTACCCTGCCACACCCACCCCTCCGTCAAGCTCCTGGAGCTCATGATGATGAGAGCTGCATAGCTTCTCAATCCTCCACGTGAGGCACTCAAAGCATGTGACGCCCTTTCTGCTGTACTCTTGTTAGAAAGGGACAACTTCAGTCAATCAGTGAGAAAACATCATAAACAGCATGTGGCACAGTGAGTCAAGCTACTGCCTTGCAGTGCTGGCACCCCACATGGATACCAGATCTAGTCCTGGCTGCTCCAGTTCTGGTCCAGCTCCCTCTGGGCATTTGGGGAAGGAAGATCTGTCTCTGTGACTCTCAAATTAATAAATACTGAAAAAAAATCTACATGGAGGAAAACTGCAAAATAACCACTTGAAACTCTTGACAAATATGAAGAAAATGAAACAAAAGATGAGACTGTGAAACAGGATGAAGCAAAGCAGGGAGAAAGCACGGCTGCGTGCACTGGGGCTCTGGATGAGCTCTGCGCCAGAGCTGATCTCCTGGGCGTGGTAACCGTGCCACGGTCACGCAGGATGCCAACAGCTGGGGCAGAGCAGAGGGAGCGGTCTGAAACTTCTGCTATGTCCAAACTGGCTTAAAAGGAAAAGTGTATGAAGGGAGGAAAACCAAACAATAAGCTGAACTGAATTTAACGACCCAATGCAAACATAAAAACCTCTTTCACAATTCTTCTCTTATGGAAAGATGTTACAGATTTGAGCTTCCTAGACTAAATGAGTTACAAATTTTTTAAAGGGCAACTACCAGCTTTTCTCCTACAGAGAACAGTTTTATTTAAATGGGCCCTTCAATCTGACAACTGAAATCTTACTGAACAATTTAAATACTTGTTATATGCAAATATCAAATCCCTTTAAAATTTAAAGAGAAGGGAAATGATCTTGAAGATCTAAAACCCATTTGTCACAATCATACAATTAAAAAGGAAGATGGATCGTCCCATGGCTTAACAGCATGAGGAAGAACAAAAATGAGAGTGTTAATATTTTATTTCTCCGGGTTTTGTGCTGTCATCTACAGGTGGCAATATCCAATAAAGATTTCAGAACTCAGCTTACATCACAATTATTTTTAAAATTACTGGGGTGACCCTGGGTCCATGTATCTAATAATATGATCCTCACTTCTTTATTAAGTCAAATAAAGCAATTAGTCAAGATCTGAACTGCCCACATCTTAGCCATCAGCCACCCAGGCAGGTCATTTACATATCACCAGTTAACACAAACCGAGTGAAACCCAGCACGCTTCCCGAGGCACACGTCACACACCCAGCGCTGCAGGTCATGGCAGCCACCACCAAGACCATGTCACCGTGATGGAGAAGGCTTCTGGGCAGCGGGTCCTCATTCTCTCTCTGTTCTGACCAAGTTTAGGGCTGACCAGAGTCCTCTCAAGGGGCAATGCTGAAGTCCCAAGCCCCATTGCCTACCTCACAGAATGACCGTGTTTGGAGGCAAAGCATGAGAGTCAGGGTTCAATGCACCTGTCAGGCTGAGTCTACTACAGTGGGCAGGTGTCCTTCAACCACACAGCACTTTCATGGGCTGGGAGGCCAAAGGAGCAGTTCACTGCCTGGACTTCGGATGTCCAGCTCATGGAACTGTGGTAAAGCATATTTCTGCTGTGTAATCTTCCCAGCCTGCAGGTGTTTCCTAAGACAACCCAGGCAAGCCAACATGTGAGCTTTAAAACACTCCCGCTCTGCAGCTCAGGCATGTGCCCCACTGCCCTCGACTGAAACAGATGGATTTTGTTTCCTGTCCTGATCAAGCCAACTTCTCAACAATGGTCTCCTCCCAATCACACCTTCATTTGCCTCCCTACTAATTTGGGCCCCATTTTTTCTGTACTCACATCTGCTTAAATGACTGCATGGTTCTCACACCTCAGTTTGAGTCTTCTCCAACACGTATTTCAGTTACAACACCTATCCTCGCCCGCTACTGGCCAGCACAACCTGCAGTACAATGAGTCAACCAGGCTGAGCCAAGGCATTGAGCAACTTAAATAAAAAGGTCAAAGTATTCATTAAGGTAAAAGCTATTTACTATAAAGTAAGGCTAACAAAAAATTAATGACTAGTAGATTTCCTAACATTTAAATCATTACCCTGTACCTCCTGTTTCTGCAGCACTGTGTGCTAATGTGAGCAGCAGAGTCCTGGTTGTCCAGGGGTGAGGTCTGGACTGACACCGTGACATGAGCATGTAAGGTAAGAGGGACTTCACCACACACATAAAAACAGCACATCTACGACTCGGGGAAGCTACAGCAGCTCTAGTTAAGAAGAGGCCTCTCTCTTCTTCAATTTAAAAAAAAAAATTTAAGATTTATTTATTTTTATTGGAAAGTCAGATACATAGAGAAGGAAAAACAGAGAGACCTTCTGTCCAATGATCTACTTTCCAAGTGGCCACAACGGCCAGAGCTGAGCTGATCTGAAGTCAGGAGCCAGGAGCCAGGAGCCAGGCGCCAGGAGCTTCTTCCGTGTCTTCCATGCAGGTGCAGGGTCCCAAGGCTTTGGCCCATCCTCGACTGCTTTCCCAGGCCACAAGCAGGGAGCTGGATGGGAAGCGGAGCTGCCAGGACTAGAACCGGCGCCCATATGGGATCTCGGTACGTGCAAGGGGAGGATGTTAGACGCTAGGTTACCATGCCAGGACTATCTTAAATTAACATGTCTTGCTCTGGTAATAACCTATAAATTAATAATGATTGGTAAAAGGCACTTTAGATATCAACCCAGGAAGCTATAACACCACAGCAATACATAAGATGTGATCACTGAAGTGCAAGTTTCAAGCACGCTGGAACATCCCAGGATTTTCCTTTATTTTTGTATTCGGTTGACATTTAGACACAAGGAGACTCAAGTGTAAGATACAACTCTTGTAAAATATTAACACAGAAGATACTGTCTACAATGGTAACATCCAGGAGTACATAATCAGCCTGTTTCAAGATAATCTCAGGAGACTGCTATTGTAGCACAGAGGGTTAAACCACTGCCTACAATGCCAGCATTCACACATCATCAGCACTGGTTCAGATGCCAACTGCTCCTTTTCCATTCAGTCCAGCTCCCTGATAAGGAACCTGGGAAAGTGGTGGAAGATGGCCGGTGTACTTGGGACCCTTCCCACGCTTGGAAGAGACGTGGACAAAGCCCCTGGTATCAGCCTGGCCCAGTCTTGGCTGCAACCATTTGGGGGAAGAATGAACATCTGAAAGTGTGCCTCCCCCTTCCCCCATCTCTGTAATAAATAAAATAGATCCTTCAAATTGTATAAATTTTATTTTTCATACTTTTTACATATTTGATTGAGGTGCAAAGGGTCAAGGGCTAGAGGTAAGGGTGAGACCATCGTTTCCACAATGTTCTTTTTCCTTCCTGTAACTGGGGGAAGGGGAGAGAGAAGGGGAGAAGCCACCCCAGCCTCCCAACCATCCCAGGGTCCCCAGTGTGGGGCCTGCGCCGAGGGTCCTGCTCAAGTGGTTTTCACAGTTCAACAGTTCTGTTTTCTGCTGGTCATGGCACTCCAACCACGATGAAATCTCTCCAGATCCATCAGCTGACACAGTCCTCCTTAGAGTCTCTGTTTGCAGAGACATTCACTGCCAACTCTTGACTGGAGTAGTTGATCAGTTTGTTCTGCCCTCTGTTGTGTACCAGGTGTCCTCTGCAGGTTCCAGTGTGCTGACATATCTCCACATGTACCTGGACATGCTGTCCACTGCTCCGTCTAAGACACTGAGGAGTCCCAGCTCTGACACACGCATTCCATGGTCAGACCATGGAGCCTGCAATTCTCTCCATGGTTGGAATTCTGAGTCCAGAGGTCAAGTTGGGGGGATTCCCAGATATATTTCATCTG